AACGAAGTAAACAAAGTAAGTTTGTACGGTTGATTTTGAACTAATAAAATAAAAATGAAATGATAATGATTTAAAATCATAAAAGTTTTATCAGATTTGCATTGGTGTGAAAAATTAATAAAACAGATTGAAAAGGAAAAATGGGATAATTTGAACGGGATGGAGGGAGTAATACTTGTTCGAAATCTTCAAATTTTCAAAGTCTAATTTCCAATTTTCACTTTCCAGTTTCCACCCCATATTTTTCACATGAAAGTGATTTCACACCGCTATATTAATCACACCTCATTATTCAATCTTCTCAATTAGGGTCCGTTTGGCACAAGAAATGTTAGATTATCAGGGGAATGTTAGACTGTTGGGTATGTTATATTGATAAGAATATAATGTATTCAATTTGTATCTCCTTTGTTTTTGGTTAAGATTTAAGGAATGTAACATTAATTTGTTGGGTTAAATGATATATTATACTCCAGACTTGGTGAATTAATTCAATGCCCTTCAAATATTTTCTCTTAACACAAGACAATTGGTACAATCGGACTACACGTCACTAACAGAATGACCCGATTATTAAAGGGACTCAGGGGGGCAATTCATTAATTAAATTACGGGTTCTAATTAATGTTTGATCCTATTTAGGGAACATTAGAGATTGACTCCTAGACAATCTTTTATTTTAGTCATAAATATGTAATTATTTCATTAATTTTTGATAATCAAATACAAAAGTATACATGTGAGTATTTCTTAATCTGATACAGATGAGTTTCTCCAAAAAAAATCAACTATAGATAGTTAAGAAAAAATAAAAAATAAATATGCTATTTAAACCATTTTGGTTAAATGGGAATGAATATTATTGGAATAAAATTCATTTCCGCCAAGGAATGTAAGATAACCTAAGAGGTGAGTGGTTTGAGATTAAAGGTCATTCATTACTTTCTTCTCTTCTTGGGAATGTAAGATTTCCCCACAAAAAATCAAATTCGCGAACCAAACACCGATATTTCACATTCCGGGCATGAGATTCCGGCCTTCAAAGGAGATTACCTCGAACCAAAGATGCCCTTCAAGGTTTTTATTATACTCCGTATATTAATAATATAAGAAAAGCCAAGTATTTTGTGGTTTGATGACATCACTGCTGATCTCCCAAAGAGGAGGTCGCAGGTTCAAGTCTCATCCCAATCAAGGATGTTGACATTAAAAAGAGCAAATATTATAATATGTTTAGAAGAATGTTCCAAAAAAAAATATAAGAAAAAGTGACTTCACTTATTTATGTATCTGTTCAAAAATAAAAATAATGAAATTGCAGTGTCGCCCCTAGCGGTTACAACCGGACACGACTCTTTGCCCTCTGGTTTTGTGAAGTTAGGAAATATACATGCTTATTTTGTGGAGAAATTACACCGGTGGGCGTAGCTCAACTGGTAGCAAGAGAGTGCCACAAGGGTTAGGTCTCGGGTTCGAATCCCGGCAACTGCGATGAGGGGTTACTATGCTGAAAAATGCATAGGGCCTCTGCAAGTACCGGGGACAGAGCCCCACTCTCTATCTGTCAGATTGTGATTATAGTCCAATTTACATCCTCCCAACGTGTCGTCTGGTCGGTGTTGGGGGGTCCTCAGGGATGGGGTGTCATCCTTTTTTTTTTGTGGAGAAATTAGTGCATGCCACTTTTGAGGACCGAGGAGGGGATTTTTTCATATATAAATCACAGTAGGGGTTATAGGGCCAATAGGCACTATATTGTAGATATATATTTTCGTCAAATTGTAAATTTAAGCTGCTTGTTCACATGGATTTGATCTAAATAAGTTAGTGTATGCAGTGGCGGAGCCAGAAAAACGGCTCAGGGGAGTCGGAACTCAACTTATACTCAGAATGAAAATGGTGGATCGTTTTTAAACAATGTTCGAGTTAAATATTTGATATGCAGTTTAGATAAATAAGCACTCGTAGCAATAAGATAGATGCTTTTACTCTGTTTCTAAGTCGTGTCCCGTAAGTATTGAGTGAATTATACTCTATTTTTAAAATTTGGGGAAATGATCTATAGTACGCATCAAATTTTGCTGATTTTACGTTTAGATAGTGCTGACTTTCAAGAAGTCATAACTTTTTACTCGTAATGAGTTACGGAGACCATAATATATCAAATGGAAGATATTTCACAGCTCTATACTCTCAAACTTTCAGTGGGGTCGGCTGACCACCCTGACCCCCCTTATCTCCGCCCCTGAGTGTATGAAGGACTTTTGAGTGTTTTTTATGCTTATAGATAGTCATTGCATCTTGTTCACATAGAACAAAAGCAAACTCTGTTTTGTGCTAACTTTCGTGCTATTTGAATCTTCCCTTCTATGTACAAGATCACACCCTGATGTGTTCATGCGCTACGGTGCAGCTTACATATATAACAATCAAACCTGATCAACGCCTTCATCGTCTGGCATGGGATCGTCTCCAAGCATGGGACTGCCAAATGTGTTCGATCTACGCAACGTTAAGGGCACTCTTTGATGATATTATGATAAGTTAGCAGGTGAAATGGTTTGGGAAATTTTACAAATGCAAATGCGACTACTTTTAGACCGTGGGTGTGACAACAAATGTCATGCGTCATGTGTCCCATCATACGATGCTTGACTGACGATAAAGCAACTCGATCCCTGTTCACATTCCGCTTATTTTTAGTAAATAAAATTTACATATTCAGAAATTACATTAAAATCGCTACAAAGCCTGATCAAGAAAAGTTCAATTTGATAAAAATTTGATATATAAAGTAAAAGATTAGGAGTGACCTAAGTTGACCAATGAATAGTGAACGAGAACATTCCAACGGGACGGAGGGAGTAAAATAATTGGGTTTTACCTTAAAATTATTTCTGCAGTTTATTTTCATTTTTTACAAGCATTCATAATTTTGTAGTAACATGACCAATTTCCCCAGTCTAAGCAAGTTACTATGTCATAGTCGTTAACTCGTTATGAACTAAATGTATGCGCAGTGGAGGACCTAGGGGGGTCCTATGGGGGCAAGTGCCCCAGCTTCCGACCCCTAAATCTAGTATTAATACTTAAAATTTCATCAGTGCCCCTGCTTCCAATCTCAAAATTTAGTATTAGTACTTAAAATTTAATCAGTGCCCCTGCTTCCAATCTCGAAATTTAGTATTAGTACTTAAAATTTAATCAGTGCCCTCACTTTTTGATACAAAACTATGAATATTACATATGTAATACTTTTGTCAAAGAGCATATGTAAATTTTCATAAGATATTTGAATGACTACGTAGTTGTGATGAAGCGATTTCATACAACTAGACATGTTCTTGACACGGTCACTTTTTAAAAAGTGACATTGGTAATCATATTTTGTGAAGTGCGAATTATCTTTTTTTCCATTATTAGAAGTCAATGATATGACAAGACTTCTAATATATGTAGTGAGCTTTATGGATTAAAGATTGTCTTAAATGAATTGAAATTCCATACACAAGTTGTACTCATTGTTTTCTTACCAATTACAATTGGATGTTGTGGCAATTGCACAAAACAAATTGGGAAAACTGTCAAATAGGTCCTCGAACTTTCATAAAAAAGTCAATTAAGTCCTACTATAGTAGACTCTGTCCGGTCGTCGCGATTTGGGGCGGTTCCCGATGGAATTTGTTGATGAAATTTTTTGAGCATCTTATTCATCAAGTCTAGTTTACTCATACCAAATTTCATCTAAAAATTTAATCGGGAGCGTATTCAAATTAATTCGAGAACGCCAAAATACGCAGTTATCTTCAAGAATTAATTTGAATGTGTTCCCGATTGAATTTTTAGCTGAAATTTGGTATGAGTAAACTAGACTTGGTGAATAAGATGCTCAAAAAATTTCATCAAAAAATTCCACCTAAAACTTCCCCAAATCGCGACGGCCGGACAGAACCTCCTATAGAAGGACTTAATTGACTTTTTTATGAAAGTTCGAGGACCTATTTGACAGTTTTCCCTTTTATCATTAATACTTATGTAGGTTGTTTGGAATAACTAATTAATTCTACCAAAAGTCATAATTTCAAAATATATACATAATATACTATATATCGCATATACCACGCAAAATAGTAAATTTCCCATAACTCATTATAACGTAAAAGTGACCGTAATACTTACGTAAATGTTTCGTATTAACTAATTTATTTTACCTGTTAAACTAACTTAAACATAACGAATATCATATAAGTTACGTACCTAACCTAAACTAACTTGCGGATACTCTCTTTGGATATTTCTCCATGATTATATATGTTACTAAAATGTTGGGATCCTCGTGTAAAATAAAGGGCGTATTCCGATAAAAACAACATGATGCCATAAAAGATTTATTAGAACAGGGTGTAGTAGAAACAAACTAGAGATGATTGAATCAAGAAGTTAGAGTAGTTTAGCTTGGCCGGGAGTTGCATGTTAGGGTTTACAATTTAATCTCAAGTTGATGAATGAATTTTGGACATTGTAATTCTGTGGCAGGATGTGTAACGTTGGACACTGTCCTAGTTCTAAATCAAAATTTTGATTGTTTGTGGTACAAAAACAACCTGAATTCTAATCCAACACCAGAAATGATGCCAGGATGATTCAGTTCTAATTCATATGAAGTATTATGTTTTCTTTCAAAAAATTGAATATTATTATTTAGAATTGTTTTAATGGGTTGAAAAATAGACTTGTTGTACATAGATGTAAATCATTTGAAACCGAAACTGAATAATTTGTTCGTGTTTAAAAAAAGTGTCTACACATTGAATAGATTAGTCTCACATCTAACCCGGCTCATCTGCGTCCATACAGTAGTGCCCCGCTTGAGAAAAGTTCTCGGTCCGCCACTGTGTATGCGTATTAGTATTAAGTACACTTATGATAAGTTCTTCTAATTAACGTAAACACTTGTGTATTAACAACCATTGCATCTTAAGCCATCTTGACTAATTAGCATGAGGTCAATATGCAACCAATGATGGCTCTTTGGCAAGAGAGTAAGCAAAACAAAGTGATAAAAGTGGGCATTACCTTTAAAGCTAGTTTTTTTGCACATTTAGCCTGACAGGCAATACACAGCTGGTTGTTGTACCATTAAAATTAGTTGTAAATGGTCAAGAGCTTTACACATTTTATGCTAATTCTCGAACTATTTATTAGAGCTATGCATATTGTGTTTTCATTTTTCTTCATCCGACTCTTGGGTTGATTGAAGATGTACATGGGGACACACCCTTTCCGGTTCTCCTCTTGTCCACAGGGTTTTAAGGTCTCCTCTCTTTCTACCCAATGCCAAGAATGTCCCTGTATATATGTTGCCATGTAATGTCATGACATTACTCCCAAAAAACTTGAAGCTTCAGTTTTTTTAGCAGCAAGGCCTCGTTTATTTTACTTACCGACAGTAAATGGAACAATATAAAGAAGTGCTGGTTGACCATGACCATCCATCAGGTTCAATGCTACATATGTAATAAGAAGACCTGCATTTGAACAAAAGAAACCTTATATGATGGCTCAACAAGGGTGGGCTTGGGCCGGGTGTTGTTAGGACCAGATAAAACCCGATAGATATCTGGTTATACAATTATTTAGAGACCTAAAGTTAACGCAATAAATTCGTGCAAATACGGATTTTTGAGTTTTGGGTTCGGGATAGGTTCAGGTTGGAAAAAATGAAAAATCTGCCCTATTCTACATGTTCCCACATTGTCTTTAAACGAAATCTCTAAAAAATAAAATTGCACTTTTGCATAATAATAATAAATTCATCAACCATTACGAATCTCAAAATTCATCGAACTGAATAGTAACCTATTCCAGATTAGCACAGTTTTGAAGTATATCATAATTTTTTTAATTTTTTAATGAATTATGTTTTTTTTTTCAGCCCGGCTTTTTATAATAACTCATAATAAACATCATAAGGGAAAATACGTCATCCTTTTTAAGCATGTTTCCAATTAGGGCTGCTGATTATACCTAGACCTTCAAGAAAAATAGTAAAACTGGACTATTAGGAATTTCAGGCCCGGTCAGAGTCAGCTTCCTGATAATATCACACATGGTTCAAGAATAAAGTGGTTTAAAAAAACCTGCACCCAACCATGAAGGCCCCACCGTCCCATTCACTGGATGAGCCTTAGTGGAGTATATGGTTCAATGCGATGATGAAAGAGGTGATATGATATTAGTTACCTAATCCATATGCAAACATTGCCCACAGAAAGTAACCTGTTCTGAGATTCTTTTTTGCCAACCAATCATACCTACAAGGAACAAAAATAAAGTGCAATGCTAAAAAATTAAAAATTAGAAACACTATTTCTGAGACCAGGCTAGCATACGGAACCTTAGCGAAAATGAAACCAGAAGCCCCGGTAGGAGGATGTCACCAAAGCCTATGATGCTATAACCACCCCAAGGATCAAATAGCCGTGGAATCTTCAATAGCATAGGAATACCATCCTCTCCACTTTTATCCCCGCGAGCTACCTATGGAGAGGAAAATCTATGTAACCCATTCATTTGTAAGAAATGAAGTTTATGATAATTGATGTGATTACGTACCACAATCATCACACTTTCGTGGAACAGCTTCTTAGAAGCAAATACCCAAAATATGTCGTACAGGAAGGCGCAACCCAGTAAAACTGTTCCTACCTGATAAGCAAGACCAGAAAACCATTTCACTAATCACTATTCAGAACCATTTTTCACAAGGAAAAATACATTACAAAATGGATTGCAGGTTGATCTTTTCCATGCTATGCTGCAGGGTGCACAAAGTTTACACCACCCTCTTTTATAGAATAAAGTAAAATCAAAGTTTTTCTCGTATTCACATCTGAATTTCAATATAAATACACTTTTTTCACACACACACACACATGCCCAAACGTTCATATCCCTGTATATCTTTACAAATGGAGTTTATACAGTTAAAAGCAGTAATATTACTTCAAAGTTTAAAATATACAATCTTGAGTGGCATTCAAATTATCATAACTACATGATAATAACGTTAGAAACCTTCCATTTACACTTCCTGGAATATTGAAGCATTACCTTTAGATTTGGTATCTGTACTATCTGAAGAACAATGATTATCAGCGCAATTCCCTTAAAAGAAAGAAAGACCAGAGGAGAGCATTAGTAGATGACCAACAAAACTAAAACAATATTTTTACAAGCATGTCAGACCCATGCATGAAGGAAACTACCTTTGTTCCAAAACTACTAAACTAGATTTCATGTTTGTAGTACCTAGTATTGGTTTCAGCATTACAAACATCAAACCTTTTCTATGACAAAGGGGGCACATTTTTTATGTTTATATTTTCATTTTTATGTTAGGCATAAACCAACATTCAAGTCACATGTATTCTTGTTAAGGTTAACTTGTTAGCAGTTTTCAATCAAGACTTGGTCTTCTATAACACCTATCTCGCAGTTATATTTTTAGCAACACTTGTAAAAGGACACGTCAATGAAAAAGTATTACAATCTTCATTAAAAAGTATCACCATCCGATGGGAGTTTTGGTCTTCCATCAAAGACATGGTATTTTATCAAGCTTTGGAAGGAGAAGTCAGGGGTGGAATGAAATTAGTATTGAAATAAATGCTCAAGGCAGCCAAATGAAATTTCATTGTCGAAGAAGTTTCAGCTTATGTGTTGTTCATCCTCGCTTGAAGAGTCTAGAGCATAACTTGAATAACTTATGGAATCATGGGGTAAAATATCCCCATTTCAGAGTTTTAGATGCTTGATACACATTTTTTTTGTTACTAAGCATTTCAAATACTACTAAAACTTAAATTACACTAAAAAAAGTAAAAAAGAGAATTCCACTTACAAGTATATCTTGACCAATCCATGCAAATGAATATGTTCTGTAGACTGCCCATAGAACTGCAAAGGCTATGCAGAATGGAGAAACAGCCAAAGTAAGGTATGATACCGCTCCAAAAAAGGGTAATTTAATAAATGAATCTCCCGTGCGCTTGAACCACCTGAAACATGTATTCATCACTACCATTCTAAAATGCCAATTGTGAAAAAAATCTTCACTGGGAAGCATTATTCTTGCTACCTGTTTCTGTTTCGTACAGTTACTAATTTGAGGCATTTATAAATTATAATTCATCTTTAATATGCTGAATTATAAACTCAATATAACCTCATGAAACGAAATACATGCTACAAAATGTCATACCGTGATAGCAAGGCAACTAAACAGGTTTGCAGACCCTGTTGAAAAAATAGAATGTAACCAATAAGTTCAAAAATATGCGCTAAATTGCTCACACTAAAAAAGTATAAATATTGAAAAAAAGTTCTACCAAAAGATTAACAAATATATAAAATGAAATTGTATGCAAGTGTTTGATTTAAGAGAGCACAAACCTCAACACCACCAATACAAAAGACTACAACCAGGATTCGATAGAACCATGAGAACCTCATAAGTTTGTACAACAAGATTAAGAAGCAGGAAGCAATGGCAACAAACAAAACTGCTGATGTCATGTTTATATCAACCACACTGCTAGTATGAACCGTTCCAGTTTCAGGAAGATCATCTAAAGCATCCTATCAAAAGAGACAAAATGTAAGCAACTAAGCATACATGTAAGACTTGCCAAGACTCCCAAGAGGATAACTAGAGGATAACTTATCAAGTTGAGAGGTTGAGAAAGAGAATGATAACCTTTAAAAGCTTGTCATGTTCTATGGCTGCTTCTCTAGCACTCCAAGCTGACCAGTATGAAGCGCATAATACAGTACCAACAGCCATCAGCCATAAAAATACTTCTGCTATGTCAACTACCGGCCGTTGTGGAGAGTAAAGCTGTACAGTAACTAAAAACCATAATACAGATTCAAAAATCAATTCTTGTTGAAAGAACCAAGAGAAAAATCCCAAGAGAGAAAGAGAGTTCATGAATGGACTTTTACTAGACGCCCACTCGGACATGCTGCACCACTTATATATTTAAGTTTTTAATACAGGACCTTATTTTATCAAAAAGCTAAAGGGTCTGTTTGCAACCTAAAAATACTAGGGAAAGAAAACAGGAAGGTAAACATAGAAAAAATAGAAAGAAAAGAAGTAGGGAAAATTAAAGGTAGGATAAAACTCAACAAACAAAATCAAAGATAGGCTAAAACTCAACACATATAGTTTAGACATTCATTGACAATCATTTTATATTCATGTCTATTATATAAAGAATATGAAATCATAATATATGTAAAATAAATAAATAAATAAATAAAACTGATCATTTTTGTTTTCCGCGCGAAAATCGAACATACGAAAATAATATTCATCTGCTCTTTTCCCATTTCACCAGCATTTGCCGCGATCTATATATACCCAAAGAGAAGGAAAGAAGATCATTTGAGCTATATATTACTAATCCCCACTAAGAAAAGAACAATCATGAATTATTATGTATGCCTAATTACCTAGAGTTAAATATGAAGATAATTGCCACCTTCATTTTCCACTTGACATTATTCACAAGAGATATGATAATACCTTACATATAAACTAAGAAAGTGAAGATCTAAGAATTTTCTTTATGCATAGCTGACAAGAAAGACATACCTGAAGACCTATTCGAAAGCATTTTCTCCAAGGTTACACCAGCATCATGGGGAAGCATGACAGCAGGTATCTTTATGTCTAGGTCAGTTTCATCAGGATCACAAACCATCTTGTAGAGTTCTGCAAAACAAAATGAATTTCAGAAACACATGCATAAATGTACACCACTGCACAAATATTTGTTTCCGATCTCCATAATTTCATCAGCTAGAAAACGAAAAAATCAGACCCTGAGACCGACCTAAAAAAATAGTGTGAACAAGTCTTGAACACAAAATAGAAAAAAGAAAAATATCTAAACACTTAACCATATGGATCAGATTAATCAGATTAGGGGTAAATATGTTATCTGATCCATGGAATCCAGATTGGGAAATCAAAATCAGATCCGTGAAGATACTCATTCAATCCAACCCATGAATAAAGATTGTATTTTTGGATTTAGTGATTCAATCTGAGAAAAAGTAAAATATACTAGTACAAATTAAAATCTATTTTAACATACTAAGAGTTTTTTATCCAAAGAAAAAAATAAAAGTCCAGTTTTCAACACACACTATATAGTAGAAGAAATTTGCATATAAATCATCAAGACATCAATAACTTATTAAACAATGCTTACTTAGTGTGCAAAAGGAAAAGGGGAAAAGGCTATTTAGAAATATTTCCACTGTAATTGTTGCACACACCAGCAGAAAGATGGTAAATGCAACCAACCTTTTTGGTTGTTTATTATAAGAACTGCTGAAGCACCAGCCGCTTCTGCATAATTAGCTTTTGCAGTGAATTTGCAATTCCCTCGGTCTACCATGATGACATCTCCAGAAATCTAAAAAATGAAAACCAATACACCACCAGACCTAATAACAGTGAGCTCTATAGTGCATAATAGATAATGCAATTACACATGAATTTAGAAAAATGAGAACCTTGTTTTTTGGAGTACTGCAACCATCTCGGGGGTTTAGCCGAGTGAGTCGAGTTTGGTGTGCATTTTTTTCCTGTGACACAATCGTAGTGCCAAATCTAGCACCAACACCAACAAACTCAGCATTTTCTACACCATCAACCCATGTTTGAATTTTCACCTAAAAATGCATCCGCAGCATGACTATTAAATGTTCAGAGAATAATTTATCTGAAAGTGTAAGCATCATGTGTGCATAAGAAACGTGTATCAGAAATATGGCACATCATCATTTGTAAACCAACAGAGCTAAATCCAACACAAAAACCTGTGTCAGTCAGTAGGACACTTTTAAAGAACGATTACAGGCAATGAAGTATAATTACTAGATTATCATTCCAGCAGAAGAGGGACTAGATTCACGACTCCTTAATTGCTACCGAATGTCGATTAGTAGGTCATGACTTAGAGTGTGCTTGCTATACCTATCAAATTTTTGTAGAGGTAGAGGTGATATTAAATCGAAGCGCTTATCATTAATAAGACGAGTGTTTGGGTACCTTTTAGAAAAAGTACTTTTGAGAGAATGAAAACTAATTTGCCTCATTTTCCATCTATCAAACTTTGTGTTTAAATAGTAGTTGGCTTGCTTTTGGATAAGCACTAATGGGAGAAGGAAAAACAACATAGTCTGCCCCAAAAGCTCAAATTTTGAGTCTCTGAGAGCAGAATAAAAAATGCTCTCTTCAAGATATCAATTGCAAACATTTTTTAGTTGAAAACCAAACAGCAATAACTTTCTACTCATATAAGCAAAGGGTTCTCTCCATTGTACCAAAACCTATACTTACTTCACAGGCTTAACACATCCAATGTAGTGCAAATCTGAAAACCTTATAACTTAAATATCAAATGTTGAGATGGCTTAAACCCAAAAAACAAAAAATTAAAATCCTCAGTATGATCAAAGCAAGATACTGATCACAAATTCATATCCATCTTGTGGAGCTGAAATTCTGAATCATTATTATGATCACTGCAAGGAAACACTTAAGAAACGCCCATGCATGAACGAATCAATATATACTCATTGCAACATGCTTCAAAAGCAAATCACAGAGGAACTTCAAATATATACTCGTATATGACAAAATGACAAATTTAGACAATATAGAAGATCCGTTTTGACGAATCAGATGCATCGAAGAGAAAGGGAGACGAATAAGAAGTACCAGCACAAAATCGTTCTCGCAACCCGGCTTCTGAGGAGCTAAATCGTCGTGATGAACAATGTCACCTGCCGTCACTCTAGAAGGGTCGCTGAAGACTACCACCAGCACTGGAAGTAGGCAAATCAAACAGAAAACCCTCCCCAAATCCATCGGATTTTAGAAGCTCACTGACTAATATGTCAAAATCAAATGCATGCATAAACCGTATATTTGTGTTTATGCATAGAAATGCAGAGCCGAAAGAGAGAATTAAAAAGCCATTCTCCTCTTCTCCTTCAATAATGGGGACCTCTTTTCACAGGAAGGAATTATTATTAAAATACTGCCAGTATAAATGTAGCAAAGACGCAAAGTGATCAAATTCAACCATGGACTGTTGTTCCGTCCGCTTCCTCATTCGGGGTTGAGCTGGTGACAGTCACTGATTGCCTCATAAACTTCAATATAATTAATTACACGAGGAGCCCAAGTATTAATTGAAAAGTTCAATTAATACTTTGAACTTTTGACAGGAGGTAAATTAATTACGCATGCGAAATGTAAGAGCGTAAAATGTTTATACAGTTTGATTTGATTATTTAATGTAAATTGTAGGACACTTTTTTAAAATATTTCGCACTGTACCATGTAAAGTATTTTACGTGGGGGAGGGTGGTAAAATACTTTGCATGCCTTTTATGAAGCACTGCAATGACTTTGCGTGCAATTTAAAAATAAATTACACATCTAGCCAAACAATGTAATATATTTTGCATGCAAAATTATTGTTTCCCTATACTTTGCATGCAATCACTTCGCGTGCAAAGATTTAACGTGCAAACTACCAAACGAGCCCTAACTCTTTTTGAATGAAAAAATAATTCAAATACCTCAAAACTTTTTTGAATGAGTACCATGTAAACCCTTCAAAGTTTAAACTTGCATATGTAATTTCAAAATCTCAAACTTTATATAAAGATTTATGTTACCACCATGAGCAAAATTTCACTAAAAGTTATATGACCATAAACTTTAAATTAATACATGATCATGATGTTAAAATAATTTTTGATTAAAGTTAGAGGTATTTAAATTATAGATAGTATATGCAAGTTTGTGGTATTTACTTCACACCTCTTTAAAGTTTGGGGTATTTGAAATATTATTTTCATTTTTTGGTTTTAAGTTTTTAATTTCACTTTGAGAAGGTTCAATGCTTTCCATTTCTCATAAAAAAACTAATTTTAATTTAGACTATTGTTTGAGACTTTGAGACAACACTAAACACTAATTAAACAGTTCAAATTTATGAGCTATAGAGAAAGAATTAAATGTGAAATCGCATGCTACTTGAATTACGTACTCCCTCTTTTCTTCTTCCTCATTTTCAGTTTTTCACTACTAAACAAGATTGCTTCGAATCGAAGTGATATGTAATACCGGAGTAACTGATTTCCTATCAAAGCAATGAAGTTATTAGATTACGATATCTTACTTTTGATCATTTAATGTCCCTAGGCTTTGAATATAAAACGAAAACGAGACATATTCACATACAAGTGATAATGCATGATTTTCTATAAGACGGTGAAGTTGTTAGATTAAGATATACTCCGTACTATCGTACTACATATTTACCATATGCATTATTGGAATTACATATTATTTTTTTATGTATATGAATTACTCCGTATTATTTTTGACTTCGTCTCAGACCAAACCTAAACAAATCAGATCAGATTAGACCAGAACAGAAATTTTCATTCCATTAAAAACATCATCAATTTAATCAAAGTAGTGATTGTAGTGAATGCGCTTCACTTTAACTGATCAAAGTGAAGGGTTAGTTATCATAAGGTCATAAGCTCAAGTGAAGGGTTAGTTATCAACAATTACTATGTATACGAATTATGAGTTAAAAAGATAAATTCAAATTCAATTGCACGTCACAACAATATCAACAATCAGGGATGGATGTAGGAATCTAAGATGATCTGGACTAAGTAGCAATATACTAGGTTTCAACATTAGTGGGGTAGGCTGAATGTGAAAAATGAAAAAAAAATATACTAAAAAATTTAAAAACAAATAAGTTACACTAGATTCTCCCCATATATGGCCATCAACAACCATCCATTAGAATCTTAAGTTGTTAAAATCAAATTCATTTCTCCCAATTAAGTTGTTTGACCGAATAACATAACAAATGAGATGCACCCTTCCAGCAAAAAGCCGATGTGAAAATATTCCAAAAATGGTACGTGACATAAGAGGAGTGGATATAGGCTAACAGAAAACCGAAAAACAAAAGGTAAAAGGCTAATTTCCTAAAGAGACAAAACAAGAGGGGCAGGCACATAAATGCCCCACATGCGCTACCCTACTTTCCGCAAGCGTCGGCCGTTAAAAGGGGAAGGACCCCCGCAACGATCTGTTGGAGGGGAGGGACCTAACCATGTGGATCTTAGGTCATCATCAATTATTGAACATGGAGGCCACGGACCTTTTCTCATCACAAACTTTATCTATCATACGGAGTCTGTCCTCCCTATCTTGGGGTAAATTATAGTCCCAAGAATCTTTTTCTTTTCATCCATCCATAAAGAGTTAAAAGGAAAATGTTTGGTATACACAAAAGTTGTACATAGGACAGACAACTCGTTTCCGGACAGACAATTTGTTTGCGAGAGAAAGACAAGTGTACAACTTTTGTGTACAACTTTTGTGTATAACTTTTGTGTACACCAAGCTCTACTCAAGAGTTAAAACATTCAATTCACCTCACTACTTGACATCGAGGACACGTTTGATTGGAGGTAATCACTTATACAGGTCGGAATCTCATGCTCGGATTGTGAGATACATGCATTTGGTTAGTGGTTATGAAAATTTTTTGGGATTGTTACATTCCCTGTAACAATCTCGTGCAAGCACGCTTAACTTTGAAGTTCTTATGTGATGAGCTCACTTAAAAGGAGATGCACCTTATTGGTATGAATAGTACTATTAATCCCCTTTAAATTAATCTCAAGTGTTACATTCCCAAAAAATGATAAAGGAATTCTCATAGCCGGTAATGTGAAACCCACTAAACCCTTAGGTTATGTTACATTCCCGATTGATTATTAATTGTCTTCCAAAAATGCCTATGCTTCATATAATGAGGATATACAAGGAAAGAGAGCCCAAATTCATATATGCAAAGTTCATATTGGACTAAATTCTTTTTCACTTTATTCTTACTATATCAATTCAATATTAACACACAAGCTCACTTTCTCATGTCTCAATGTTAGTGGGACGGAGCAGAGCCAACCCAGGGGGAGAATCTGTGCCACTGCATAGGGCCTCAAAAAAGAGAGGGCACAAAAAAATTAGTAATAGTATTAGGTAGTAGCAGCAACCCAAGTCCAAAATAGAGACCGCAACATCCGTTGAGGCAATCAAGGCTCACGGCAGTAGTCGACCGAGGCCATTTCCTTGGCTCTGTCCCCCGTGACCTCCGTTTACGCATCTAGGGATGCTACCACAACCCGCCAAGAGTTCAGGCGGTCCAGCACCGCACCTCCGCCGGTTCAGCAGAAGGGGTCCGCACCCAAGTCACCAGTGCAAAGTAAGTTAATCTATTTCACTATTTTAATTGATTTTCTTATATGTTTGGATTATTAGTAGAATAGTAGATTATTTATTATTTATGTCTTAGGAGTCCTAATTTATTATTCTGTTTGAAACTTAACAAATTAGGTATTGAGGTTGTTGTTTTTCATTTCGTGTAATTGTTTGATGAATTAATTAAACTATTTATGTTTAATAATTTTGTGTAAATGTATAATGTTATTTGCTATTACTTTTTAAGTGGTGGGTGTAAAGTTATTAAGTCAAAATAAAATTATTTTTTTAACTTGAATTTATAAACATATACATAATTATATGAATTATGTTTCCGAGGAAATATCAATCTGGACATGAGAAGCGTCAAAAGAAAAGAAGAATTGATAAATTAACTTTGTCTCAAAAAGGATCTCTCGATAAATTCATTATCAAAAGAAGTTGGAGAGGACACATAGGGTAAACAAGAGGATATTGATGTTGATAAAATTGATGAAATAGCAGATCACTATGACAATGATCCAAATTCTAAAGCAGTTGATAACGACAATTTTGAGATTCCGGATACTGAAGACATCATAAATGATATTCTTGATGATAGGCCAAATTATTCTGCTTTGTTTGACATATATGATCCAAGAAATTGGGATTCTCTTGTCTAAAAAATGATACTCCTTTCGTCCTAATTTGACGTTCCCCTATTTCCTTTTTGGGATGTCCCAAAATGATGTTCTCATTTCCTTATTTGGCAAGCATTTTAATAATGAAGGGATTGACATACCCTTCATTTATTACCACGTTCCCTTATTTACCCTTATATTATTTCACCATACTCCTCATTTACTCTGCATCACATTTGGGTGTCCGCTCATTTACCTTCGATTATTCTAGATCTTCATCTCCTTCGTCTCTCACTTGTCTGTAGTTTCCATCTCTCACTTTGTAATCTTCGTGGTCTCTCGCTTTCTCGATGATACATATGGCTCCATTACATAAATCATGTGAAAATACTTCGTGTTTCCAGAGAGTCCGACTTGTCCTTCTGTAGATTTTGCCGCCAATGCCCTACAATTTCTGGAATCCATTGTGTAGATTTTGCCCCCGATACATATGATGATTGTGGATATGAAATAAACCCTAGCTTCGGTGGAGGTGGCAGAACTACAAGGCTGGTGGGGACGAAAATGGAGACAAAGAGAGAAGAAGATTACAAAGGAGACCCAGAATTGGAAGATGGGGAGGAGGTCACTTCCCCTCAGGCGAGTCTGGCCAGAGCTATTTGAGGTTGTATATCTAACTCTCACTCTCTCTGCATTTATTTTAGGAAAAATTCACAAGAATAATCCCACCTTTCGCCGGTCTTCTCATAATAATCCCACCTTTAAATAATCCCAAAATAATCCCACCTTTGCACTTCATCTTCTTCCATTGGACCCTAACCAAGTTTTTTTTACCTTTTTTGAGAATCTTATATAAATAATCTTACATTTATAAAGATATAATAAAAAGTGAAAGGTGAGATCATTTATATGATTTTCAAAAAAAGAGTAAAAAACATGGTCAGGGTCCAATGAAAGAAGATGAGGTGCAAAGGTGGGATTATTTTGGGATTATTTAAAGGTGGGATTATTATGAGAAGACCGGTGAAAGGTGGGATTATTCTTGTGAATTTTTCCTTTATTTTATTGGCAGTATGGTTTACTATGCGCTTCACTGATGATGCTAATTGTGGTGTTAATTGTGTGCGCGTATGTTAATGTGCTTATGAACATGCAGGAGGTGAAATCATGTGTTAATTGTCACCCATGTTCTATGTTTTGACTTAATCCATACTTTTGATGCCT